CTGGTGCCTCAGTCTGTTTTGCATTGCTGTAAAGGACTACCTGAGGCTGGGTAATTTATAAAGATAAGAGGTTTATCTGGCTCACAGTTCTGCAGGCAGTACAAGAAGCATGACATCAGCATCTGCTCCTGGTGAGGGCCTCAGGAAGCTTTAACTCATGAAGGAAGGCAACGGGAGCAGGTGTCACTGGAGAGAGGGAGGTAGCTAGGGACAGAAGACTGGGCGCCAAGCTCTTTTTAACAACCAACTTTCCTGTGAAAAGAGAGTTACCTCCTGGAGGGCACTAAGCAAACATAAGGCATCTGCCCTGATGACCCAAACACCTCCCACTAGGCCCTACTGGCAATACTGGGCATCAAATTTCGACATGAGATTTGGAGGGGGCAAATATGCAAACTCTATCAACTGGCCACTTTCAGGGCACTGGGCCATACTCGGGGGACTACCCAGACCCTGAGGTAGGGATAGTGGGACACCACTGGCTGGTGGAGGAGGCCCTAGGATAAGGCTTTAATGCAGTCTGGGAAGACAGAACAGAGTCTATCCCTCCCACAAGGGGCTCACTAAGCATGAGCTGAGCTCTAATTCTCTCCCACACCTCTGCAGGCACAAATAAAACAGAGAGAAAGCAACCGAGAATTTGGAGTGGGGAAGACAACTGGTCCCACTTACGTGGGGAGAATGACAAGGAGAATCTACATACACTGTAGCTGAGCGAATAAAAGGTAGGGATGACAGAGGTGCTGACATTAAACATGGATAAGAATAAAACAAGTGGCACAGAAACTGCACAAACATACCACAGCCAATGGAAGGACCGAAGGAAAGGAGGCGAGGAAGGAAAAAACACTCAGTCTGAGAAAAAACATAACCTGAGAAGTAGCATCTCCATGGCTGTCTCAAGGTACAGATGACTCAACAGAAATAAGAATCTAATAAAACAAAAGTTCAAAGACAAGATAATATAGCACAGAATACGGTGAAAAGATTGCAGAGCTAAGGAAACAAATTGGGTCTCCAAATGACACCAATGAAGAGCTGATAAACCAGAACAGTAAAGAACAGAATAGACATGACCGAAAATTGAGTCAGGCATAAAGATCTCAGATTACTTCAGTGAGCGCAGGAAAAAAATCACCTCACACAATCAAAAGAAATGTGACAAATATGGAAGGCAAAGGTGGTGAAACAAAGAATAACTAATTTCCTGAACTAGAAAATCCAGTAAGCATTACAGAAAATATCCAGAAATAGAAATCAAAAAAATTTATCCCTGAATTGAAGGAAGGAGTAAATTTGGCTTCAGTATTCTCCAAAATCTATGTCCAGAACTAGAAGGCAGATAAAGGGCTGATAACTAGAATCTACTTAGAACTCAGGAAAATCAACAAGAAAAAATCAAA